CGCCAGGGGAGTTTTACTTAATTCCTTTCTTCATGCTGGTCCAAAGCTACAAGAGGACCTCCTGGTCGTGCTCCTGAGGTGGTGTTTCTTCCGATATGTGTTCACCTGTGACGTGGTGAAGATGTTTCGACAAATGTTGGTTCACCCGGAGGACTTAGACTGGCAGCACATCTGCTAGAGGTTTTCGCCCGGATCGCCGTTGCTTTCATACCGTTTGCTCACGGTGACTTACAGTACAGCCTCTGCCCCCTTCCACGCTAACGCTTGTCTGCTAGATCTTGCAGAAAAGGAAGCGCATCGCCTTCCACTCGGGTCTAAGTTGCTCGAAAAAAATCGCTATGTGGATGATTTTTTGGCGGGGGGAGACACGCTCGAAGAAACCGCAGCGGCAAAAACTGAACTTATCAGTATTTTAGGTATGGCTGTGGATAAGTGGGCTGCCAATCATGTCGATCTTCTAGGCGCAGCTGAGCCGCTTCAGCACAGGAAGTTGAGTGAGATCGGCACGGTTTCGACACTTGGCTTAAAATGGCTACCCCACTCGGATGCTTTCAATTTTGATGTGCGGCTTCCACCATCAACCTCAGCAGTAACGAAATGCACAATTCTCTCTCAGGTTGCTACACTGTTCGACCCGGTGGGCTGGGTTTCTCCAGTGGTCATACGGGCCAAACTGCTGCTGCAATGTCTGTGGCTTCAAGGAGCGGACTGAGACGCTCAGGTTACAGGCGAACTCAAACAATCCTGGATCACGTACCTGACAGAACTCATGGATCTCGAGGCCATAATGATGTTGGCTGGGAACTGGCAGAACGGTGGAGTGGCATCTTCACGGCTTTTGCGATGCGTCCGAACGCGCCTTCGCAGGCTCCATCTACGTCGTAGTACCAATGACATCGTCATCTCGATTCCTTGTGGCCAGGTCGCACCCCTGAAGGTCGTTAGCCTTCCTAAGCTCGAACTTTGTGGAGCGTCTCTTCTGACACGGCTGATCACCGCCATCCTTCCACAACTGGAGACTCCACCGACACAAATTCATTGTTGGTGCGATTCTCAGATAGTTCTGTCATGGCTACAATCACATCCTTCTAAATGGAAAACCTACGTGGTAACCAGAGTCAGTGAAATCACCACATCCCTACCAACTGCTACTTGGCGCCACGTCAAATCTAGTCACAATCCTGCGGACCTGGCTACGAGAGGGTGCTCGCTGCGGCAGCTACAGGAATCGGAAATCTGGTGGAAAGGTCCTCACTGGCTGACTCTTTCACAAGCCGAACGGTCTTCTAACTTTAAACTTAAGACCACTGAGTTGGAGTCACGCAATTGAGTCAATATTTGGCTGAATCAACTCGGTTCTCCATTCTCGAATTGGCTGATTAAGTTCTCCTTTTTTGACAAATTGTGCTCCATTCTTGCCTATGTGCATCGCTGGCGGCTGAATTCGAAGCTGGCAAGATTTGATCGACGCACTGGGTTTTTGTCATCACAGGAACTATCCTTCGATTCGATGACGCTGTTCAGACTGGTGCAGATGGAGGCGTTTCCGGACGAGTTTCAACGTCTCGCTTCAAAGGGGGAAGTTCAAGCTAGCAGTCCTCTTCGCAAACTCCTGCCCTTTGTCGACACTCAAGGCCTGATTCGTGTCGGCGGCAGACTTCAGAACTCCTTTCTCTCGGAATCCGAGAAGCACCCTGTGACCGTACGATCCCTTGTTTTGGTTGGGACCCAGTTTATAACGGCCTCAGGCTGCCCGCTTTCGCCATATACGTGGTCGCCAGTTGTTTTACCATCCAAACAACAAGGTTGATTTACAGCTGCTGGTCCAGGTCGGGATGTGTCCTTTGATCGTCTTTGTCGTCGCCACGCCTCTGGTTTGGTGCGCTTTGACACGCCGACTGATCCGACTTTGTCGAGGCAATGATTCCTTGATCTGGATCTCCTACGCTGTGATTTTAACGTCTGTTTTTTTTCAGTCTTTGCGGGATTCGGGATACTTTCGTGATCTGGGATATCACCGTAGACTGTGGGACTACGCTGGACTGATTCGTCTTGGAAGGACGAGGACGGGTAAGTGACTTTACACGTTTGATTTAACCTTGATAAATATAAATATTTATTTTTTTTCAGGTCACGCACTGAGTCACAATTTAATCCCGTTAACATTCGATTGCTCGTTACGGTAATTTTTGTTCTGCCGATCTCGTTATACTTTTTATCGCCGCGTATCGCGTACAGTGATTTAGATTAATCGACGTGTTACTACCGCAATTGTTACCGAATTGTCTTTGTCCGCGTTATTCCAGAATATCTTTTCTGAAAGTCCTCTTTGTGAATTCTAGGTGGAGATAGAACTCTCGGGCTCTCTCGGCGCCGGCTTATATAGCCGCCGAGGCGCTCGCCCCACTCTTGGCCCACCAGCCAATTGCGTTTCGCCGCCCCGCCAGGACTTCACGCGCTCGTGGTATGCTAAGCTCGACTCTCTGAGAGTTCTTGTTTTTTGGTTTTTCTTGTTTTATATTATAAATATATTTTGTACATATCCTTACTATCTATTTTAACCTATTTATTGTTATTTTTGAGTATTTTATTTATTTGTAATTTTATTTGTGTTTTTATGAATAATAAACAAAACCGATATGTAAGCTTAAATTAAATTAACTTGTGATATTATATTTACACAAACATTTTGACAAAATAATATTTCTCATTGTAATTAAACTGTAGTTCGCGTTGCTTTATTAGATATCTTAATCGCAGCTATTTATGCTCCTTAATTGTAATATGCATTATTTGTGATGTTTGACTAGTAACTTTAATAAACCAACGTAACTTAACTTAAAATATTTGAAATACATATCATTTGTTTGTTTGAACGTACTTTTGCCATATTTCGTAAATTAAGACTAAAATTATGAAAAATGATTTTTATAACATAAAGATGTTAAAATTACATTTCTCTTTGTTATTCAAATGTATTTTATTGTGCTCGGAAACCTATACTTAATTTTTGCCGATTTTTATGATTTTTCTCTGAATGTGCATAATTAAACTAAAAATGTCTAAAATACATATTTTTTATTTGTTTGATTGTATATAACATGCTTCCTGCATTTACAAATAGTTGTAAACATATTTTTAATATTTGTCATTCATTATAATTAAATATTGGGTTGTTCAAAAAGTTATTGCGTTTTTTTCATTTGATTTTCAGGTGCGTTTATTTAATATACGTAATGAACATTAATCAATAATATATTGGCCGTTTTGTTCAATGACCTTTTGCCATCTCTCGGGCAATTTCATAATACCGCGTTCATAAAACTTCCTATCTTTCTCTGCGAGAAACTTGTCAAGGTGCTGTTTGATGAGGTCTTCAGAAGCAAACGTTTTACCGTTCAAGGAGTTTTGCAAGGAGCGAAATAGATGGAAGTCTGATGGCGCAAGGTCTGGGCTATATGGTGGATGTGGCAACACATCCCAACCAAGCTGCAATAATTTTTGCCGAGTGACCAAACTTGTGTGTGGTCTCGCATCGTCGTGGTGAAACACCACACCCTTACGATTGATCAGCTCGGGACGTTTCTGTGCGATGGCATTACTTAATTTCTGTAGCTGCTCACAGTAGACATCGGAATTGATCGTTTTATTCTGTGGAAGCAGCTCATAGAAGACTGGTCCCTTCCAATCCCACCAGATTAACAGCATCACCTTCTTTTGGTGGATGTCCGCCTTTGCTTGCCTTTCCGGTGCTTCATCTCGCTTACTCCAACTCCTTTTTCGGCTCACATTGTTGTAGACAATCCATTTTTCGTCGCCCGTGATCATACGCTTCAAGAACGGATCGTTTTCTTCGCGTTTGGTGAGTTGATCGCAGACGTTCATACGCTTTGTCAGATGAATTTCTTTCAACTCATGCGGTACCCAAATATCGAGCTTCTTCACGAAACCAAGCGATTTCAAATGTCCATGAACACTTCCAATGGACACTTTTAGAGCGGTAGCAAGCTCCCGAACCGTTGAATGCTTATTTGCTTGCACCAATGCCTTGATTTTATCGTCGTCAATCTCGGAAGGCCTACCGGAGCGATGAGCGTCTTTAACCGAAAAATCACCACCACGGAATCGGGCGAACCAGTTCTGGCACTGACGTTTTTCAATGACATTTCTGCCGTAAACTTGACGCAACTCTTCCCTTGCTTCAGTTGCTTTCTTCCCTTTTTTAAAGTAATAAAGCAAAATATGGCGAATATGCTCTTCAAAATTCTCCATGTTTAAACTACAATTGCAAGCACAAAACTCGACTAAATTGCGTCAACTTTTTTTTTGGTTTTTAGGTTAAGTGTCAACAACAAAATGTGCATAAACATTTGACATTCATGGCACGCTCAGATACAAATAAATGTGGACAGCGCTATCTATTGGAAAAAAACGCAATGACTTTTTGAACAACCCAATACATAAGATAAATATGTAATAAATTTAAGTGTTCAATAGACTTTTAAAGCAACCATATTTTCAACTGTATAAATAAATTTCGCAAATCTTAAAATAAATAATTACTCTTTAAGTTAATATTATCTTATGTCATTTTTAAAAATTAATTTGACAAATCAATAATCTTTAACAATACAAAAAGGAAAATTTACTATGACTATTAGCTTAACCTAATACTTAAAATTAAATGCTATTATGGTATTTATATTTTGGCGGTCGACTCGCTCTGCTGCTGGGTCGCCGCTTCCCTCGACTTGGGATTCTCTTCCGGACTGCGACTCTCTGTGGTTGGTCGCAACCCCATCATTCTTTCTAAGAATCATCACATCACTATCCTCCTCATTCGAAAGGCTCACATTTCCACTCTTCATGGGGGTTACAGATTAATACATAGTTATTTGTCGCAGAAATTCTAGATACTGCGTGCTAACACCACGATCCGACGCGTCGTGCGGAGCTGTGTCACATGCACCCGTCACAATGCTATCACTCTCGAACAGCAAATGGCGCCGCTACCAGAATTTAAAACAGGTATTCCGAGCGCCATCGCCGCCAGAAGTGGTTTCGCATTAGCTGAAGCAGATGCCAGCCGGAACATAGTTGCCCAGGTTGATTGACCTCTGTGTAAGGCTCTGGAAGAGCGACGAGAGGCTTTCCGATAAGAAAGTGTCCGGGCGTCAGCGCCGAGACGTCGTTTGGATCACGCATGTAATTCGCGAATGTCGTTAGCAGTCTCGCCATTCGAACGAAGCCCGCTGTACCGTTTGCGCATTCTGAAGTAGACTCTGCCGGCTACTTTTGGCTGAAGGCCTCACCTGGTCGAGGGATAAAGACTTCCAAGGGATATGTCGCCGTATTTGTGTGCCTCGTCGTGAAGGCTATCCACCTGGAAGTAGTCTCCGACCTAACGACGGACGCCTTTCTAGCTGCCTACCGGCGCTTCGTCGCTCGGCGCGGTCTCTGCCAAGTCTTATACAGCGACAACGGCACGACCTTGAAGGGCAGTGAAGCCGAGCTGCACAGATTCTTTTCTGAGACATCCGCCACCGGGCAAGCTGTGGCAGCTGCGGTAGCCTCCGACGGAGTGGAGTGGCGCTACATCCCGCCCCGCGCTTCAAACTTTGGGGGCATTTGGGAGTCCAACGTTAAATCAATGAAGCGTCATCTTTACAAAGTCATCGGCGACTCTAAGCTCACGTACGAGCAATTTTCGACTGTGCTGGCCAGCATAGAAGCCAGCCTCATCTCTCGACCAATCAGCGCACCAAGCTCTGATCCAAACGACGTCTCGGCGCTGACGCCCGGACACTTTCTTATCGGGAAGCCTCTCGTCGCTCTTCCAGAGCCTTACACAGAGGTCAATCAACGGAGGAAATGAAACGATGTGATTGGTCGGCGTAAGTTACCGCAAGTTAGGCGTACACAAGTTACGCCTCATGTGACGGCACCCTTACATAGCAACCATCGTTATTAGGACTAAAGGATATCGCACACAAATTGCATAAGCTGCATATGCATAGCATAAGACCTTATGGACCAATGAGCATCAAGCATTGAATCACATGCTCGATGTTCATTGGTCCATAAGGTCTTATGCTATGCATATGCAGTTTATGCAATTTGTGTGCAATAGCATTAAAGGCCGCCGCACACACTTTTGCATGACATATAATGTAAGTGTATAAAGAATATGATAGGTTGAATTTCATTATGCATGTGCTGATGGACCAATCAGTGCCCTTATATATGTTCGTTATGAGTTATGAAAAAGTGTGTGCGGCAACCTTATTGCATATAAATTGCATAAGCTGTACATGTATAAAATAAGATCTTATAGACCAATGAACATCGAGTATTGTCGATGTTCATTGGTTCATAAAGTCTTATATGTATATGTACATGCAATTCATGTGCAATAGATCATAAAGCTATCGTACACGCTTTTTCTTTAACGCATAAAGGCCGCGTTTCGTTTCACGTATATACGCGCATTTATCTATAGTATACTATATATTACGTGCACTATATATAAAATAAACGCATTATGCGCATTATGCGTTGAAACGGAACACGGCCAAAATATGCATAAAGAAATTGATTGGCCCATTAGCAAATACATAAGAAATTCAATTAATCGAATTCTTTATGCATGTGTGTGATAACCTTTAGGGTTTAAGCGGGGAGCACACACTTTTGCATAAGCGCATAAGCATATGCATAAGAAATTCGATTGGTTGAATTTCTTATGCATACGTTTATAGACCAATCAAGATTCTTATGCTTACGCTTATGCGCTTATGCAAAAGTGTGAGCTCCCCGCTTAATCCAGACAAATTTGCATAAAAGCATAAACAGATGCATACAAAATTTTTCTAAAGATTAGTTCATAAACATATGCATAAAGCAATGGACCAATCAAATTTCTTATATATGATGTATATGCTTATACATTATTCATACAAATTTGTCTAGATAGGTCCTTAAGTCTGTTTTATTAATTAAAAGGCTTAAGATTTATATTTCGCTTTTATATTTAAGACTATGTTTACACGTCAGGTTTAATAACACATGATTTCTAAAACTGGCCAATTACAGCTATTCTTCTGAAGAATGTAATGATTATATAATTGATCAGCTCTAAAAGTATAGATGTTATTAAACTTGATTTAGACTGTCATATAAGTGTTGTCTAAGATCTTCTTATATTTAAAATCATCTTTAAGCCTATATCAAATTATGGATTAAAGATTAAAAATTGGAATTTAACCAATCAGGATAAAGAAATTTTAATCTTATAATTTCTTTATCTTGATTAGTCAAATTTCAACCTTATTAAATGTATGGATTAAATTTATACAAAATTATATCACAACTGACTATATCACAATTTTAACAATTGTAACAATTTTTATTTGACGATTGACTTTAGGTAATTGTATGACACAAACATTTATAAAAGAAAAATTTATTACACAAGAATAATTTAATCTAATAGTATAGTAAAAATAAATAAAAATTAAATATTTTTATTAATTTAATTTTTTTACGTTATTAATAAAAAATATGTATATTATTAACGTAGCAATTTACACAACTAATTTTTTAGTTTTAAAGATTAAAATACCAATTCTTTTATATTATTATATTATTTATTATTATATTTATATTATATTATTATTATATTGTTATATTATTATATTTATTATTATTTATATTATTATTATCAGCCTTAGTGTATCATTACATTTGTACGACAAATTTTTCAAGTATCGTTAGAGTGATGTGTCACGTGTAGCATCGTCTTCTCTCTGTTTTTGCTGTCGGGTGTTGGTAAGGGAGTCACTGCTCCGCTTCCTTCCTGACGATGGTCACCGTTAGGGAGACACTCCGACGGCCGGACGGTTTGAATAGGGAGGAGAATGATATTTAATTTATTTGCGGATTCTACTGAAGAAGACCCGAAGTGGGTCGAAACGTTTAGAATTTAATAAATGAGTTTGACTTGAGATCTCATTTTAATTTATTAATTTTGTGCATGTCATCCGCATAGGCTCCGATTGCCGTCGAGATTTTATTTTTATTGTAACACAATAATTCGAGCCGAGATTAATAGTTTTTTTATTTTTCAAGTATGTTGATTGACTATGTAGAATAGAAATGTCTAGATTCGAAAATTTTTCTATGCTACAGCCAAGCAATACGTTTGAAAAATTTATTCTACGACAAATGTAATATCAACTGAATATGTCAACTTATTGCACAATAAAATTTTTAGTTTTAAAGATTGGTAGAAATTGATTTGGAAGTAAATAGTAGGTACACTACATACTCTAATTATGTGTGACAACTTAAAAGGTTATAGATGTCGTTACACCTTAAAAGAATTCTTAAAAATTCTTGATTTCTCGTCGAGCAGCGAAGAAATTATTTGTTTCAATAATATATGAAGTGACAGATATAATAGTAGTAGTAGTAGTAGTAAATAGTAAGTGAGAGTGGTTCCATGACTTGGCCCCCGACGGCACCTAGATCTGGCGAGATCCATTGTGTCTCCTCACTCTTGTCTTTAAACTGGGTGGTGTGTACTCAGCCCAGAGTTCTCCACTAGGCTTATGAGTTCCACCACCCTTGTTTTGTCTAATTCTTGGGATTTAAGAAAACTTTGTCCCCAGATCCTGAATCTCTTTCTAGCCAGAGCCGGACATTGGCACAGAATATGTATGCTGTCCTCACAGATATAATAGACAGATATAATAACAATAAGGTAAATTATTTTGAAATATAATATATCATAAGATTATTAAAGAAAATACAAAATCGCATTTAAATATAAATACTGTTATATTCTAATAATTGATTATGTAAATATATAACTTTAAAATACATATGCTGGGTATTGGACAATTTAAATATATTTAAAGTATATATATATATATATATATATATATATATATATATATATATATATATATATATATATACAGGGTGTCCCATAATTCGCGAATCACCTTTCATGGGCAGATAGAGCGTGTTAAACTGAATAGAAAAGTCCTGTATCATTTTGCGATATTCGCAATAATTATTGAGTTATTAACTAAAATATCTAAACGAATGAGCAGGTAGAAAGCGGTAGGCCGGACTCGGTGTGCATGTCGGATGACTTATTTGTTATATGCCGCTTAGTATCAAAAGTATCATCTTACTTTTCGGCGCCACTACATTGGTCGCCGCTCGTTGCATGACGCCGCCTCTCGATCAAATAATGCTTTCTACCTGCTTATTCGTTTAGATATTTTAATAAATAACTCAATAATTATTGCGAATATCGCAAAATGATACATGAATTTTCTATTCAGTTTAACACGCTCTATCTGCCCATAAAAGGTGATTCGCGAATTATGGGACACCCTGTATATTATATGTAAATATATGAGGTATTCCATTCCAAATCGTGCGTGCGTGCGTGTGTACGTGTATAGTTTATATATATAAAACCAGCATTGAACAGTGTATATAAATTTTATATAAATTTAATATTGTATGTAGTTTTTAAAAATTTATGTAAAATTTATATTAATTAGTTTGTATAAAATTTATACAAGATATAGTATAAAAAAGATGGGATCGGTAAAATTATATATATATATATATATATATATATATATATGTATATATATATATACATATATATATACAGGGTGTCCGGTAATTGTCGCCTCAATCGTCGTGTGCAAGTAAAGTAAGTTAAACCGAATAGGAAAGTCCTCTACCGTTTTGCGATTTACGTACTAATTATTGAATTATTAAATAAGAAAGATCGGCCAATCTACGCGAATAGAAGCGCGCAACGAGAAGAGACGTCTTACAGTAACACGATACACGAAGATTTTTTGAACACAATTCGTAGACAGTCATCGTTCCCTCTCGTTGTCCGCCACCTTGTCGTGGTGAGAGGGCTCACCCTTCGCAAGAGGATACTCTTGCGAGGGGTGCTAAGAGCGGACCGTACTTCCTGTAGGGAGGTACACCGGGATGCCGTCAAAAGAATTAAGAAGGGGAAAGCCCCTGGACCGGACGGCATCCACGGAGGAATCTGGGCCCTCGCCTTTAGAGAGCTGGTGGAGCCCATGAGGCACTTATACAATGAGTGCCTCAGGGAGGGCTCCTTCCCCCAGGAGTGGAAGAGGGCAACTATAGTCCTAATCCCTAAGGAAGGTAAACCTAGGGATTCGCCCTCGACGTACAGACCTATATGTCTGTTGAACGAGGCGGGAAAGATTCTGGAAAGAATCATCGCTGCCCGCCTCGTCCATCACCTGTCCCGGGATGGTCCGAATCTGGATGATAGACAGTACGGCTTCCGGGCCGGGCGGTCAACTATTGACGCAATCTTGCGTGTCCGCTCGGTCTCGGGGGCCGTCGTGAGGGAAGGCGGGGTGTTGTTGGAGGTCTCACTAGACATTTCGAACGCCTTCAACACCCTGCCATGGCACCGGGTGGGGGATGCCCTAAGATACCACAGGGTTCCCCCCTACCTGGTGTCAATAATCTCGGACTATTTTCGGGACAGGAGCCTGGTCTACGTGGACCAAAACGCCAAGGAGCACAGGGTCGAAGTGTCGTGCGGGGTTCCGCAGGGGTCAGTATTGGGCCCCCTTATGTGCTACCTCGCATACGACGTGACCCTGAGGACAGCCCTCCCCTCTGGCTGTGATGTCATCTGCTACGCGGATAACACACTGGTCATGGCCGAAGGAGACTCCTGAGAGGAAGCAGTAGCGCGTGTTAATATCGCTGTGGCTCGCGTCGTGCGCACAATAGGTGGAATCGGGCTGAAGGTGGCGCCCCAAAAAACGGAGGCCGTCTTTTTCCACGACG